ATTATATCCAAATTTTGTAGAAACTATTATATGTTAATAAGAACACCAACAAACCATAAGAATTTGTTAGGGTAGGCTATAGTTGAGAAGTGACATTTTTATGTCAAAAATTCCTAAATTCCAGAATTTTGTGCCGTGTTTATAAAGTTAATCTTCACAATTATCAATAACATCAAATAAAAAATAAAATCTAAAATCATTGGTAATAGGCACTTTATTACTAATATTTGAATTCATTTGAGTCAATTAAAATGGGGAACAATTTTTTTGTAATTATACAAGTAATTCATGTTACCTAATTCAGATGTTGGGATTTTAAATCTGAAATTAGGTTTGGTTCGAAAGCTAAATTTTTTTTTTCGAAATGGTATCTTTATTTTTTTCTTAATTTTTATTTTTTGTCTGAATGAATGATAAGCTTATAAAGTTTTTTTTTTGCAGTACAATATGTATATAGCTTTATATAAACGCAAATAATTAAAATAAAATAAAATAGCAAAACTTTTAATAGGAAAATGCAAAAGCCTTCATCAGGACACATCCCTTTTGATTAATGCAATATTTCTGAATAAAGAATAATTATCTTAAGATAAAATATACTCTTTATAATATGTAGTATAGGTTTATATACACACATACTCTTATCTGCACCTTTGAAAAAATAAAACATATGACTTTAAAAAAAAATTAATAACGTATTAACGTATCGCATCATTAACTGTATTATCGCCATCTTCCTTCCACGTTTAATGTAACAGAGAAGTGGAGACATTCAGTAGTAACTCGAGTAAAGGAATCCTGGTTAGGAATATATTATTGAATTGCATAATAAAAGTTATTCCTCTTGGAAAGAAACCGATTGCAGATTTAAAATCAGCGAAGTGAAAGTATATTAGAACTTTTCAAAAATTTCACGCAACATAAAAAAGAAAAAACATTTTCGTCAGTGTTGTCAGTATAAAATTTAGTATCAGTACATTGCTATATAAACGTAATGTATGCATGATTTTTATTTCATGCTTAAAAGTTGAATATTAATGTACTTCTAATAAATCTAATTATTGATTACGTAAAAGCCAATACGATTGAGCAAAAAGGACTATTAATAGTTGTGAAATTGATTAATTTTGTCAAAAAACTTGTTTGCAGAATAAGAAACATCAATTTTTACAATCAATGTAAACATATTAAAACATTGAAATTCGAAAAATATGAAGGTAATTTATAAAGATTATAAATGAACAGATAAGAGTGAGTTTTAATAAATAACGGAATAATGTTCATTAATCTTATGTATAAAAAAGCACACTTGAGATCTTTTTTTAGAGATTAGTATTCGGTTTACTTTAAATTAAAGTGAAAGTTTAATTGTAATCTATGAACTAATTCTCCAATTTCTGCATGATTCACAAAATTAGGAGAATCATAATTAGTTAAATGTATAGAAGTTATGAAAATGCTTAGTTAATTGGAAATTGCATTTTGAGGATTTAATATCAATTAGCATACTATCTCTTATGGGAGAAATCTACTGACTGCTTGCGTTTCTAAATCTTAATTGAGGGATATCAAGTTCATGAAGGACTGTAGTTTAATAATCATAGGTACTAGCGATTTTACAGGAAAGTTAATGGGCTAAATTACATTCTCCGCCCTAGCAAGTTTTCAAGTTATACTTCAAGAAAATATTTTGATATGCTTAGTTGGCTAATATATTTACCTATATTAAAAGGGAAAATTTTGTAAATACAGCATATTGTTTCTGAATAGGTATGGAGGTAAATAAATCATACCAATTAACTAAAATTGTTTAAAGGTTTCTGGATAACTATTTGAAGTTATCAATTATTAAGTGTTTTAGTGCCTGAATTCATTTGACATTGAGCATAGATAATGCCCTTTATTTCACAAAAGATATTTTGATAAAACTTTAGTTTTAAAGGACCAATTAATATTTTTTAAAGGTGAACGCACCTTTTTACTAGCATACCTTTATTAATTAAAATATCTTTATACTTTCCATATGAAATCTTTGGGGGCATCTTTGCACTTATATAAGGGCCTTAAATATAATTTTAAGAAGCTAATGTACTCAGTGCATTATGGGGCAAAAAATTGCATTTTTTTTCTACTTAGAAACTTTTTCTTCTTGGATTCATTTTCAAATTTTGATACCTGATTTAAGAAAAATATAATTTTTCAAGAAGAAACCATTAATATAATTGGTTTTTTACAATTTCTATTTAAAGAGCAAAACTAAGAAATTTGTTCAAATCTAATTTCTGATAATACATTAGAAATATACAACAGAATTACTTATCAAAAAATATTCAGTAAGATGAGAGTCCATTAACTTCACTGGTACAAATGCAGTTTCTTTTTACGTGATGCAGGCTGCATCACTTTTAAAAAAAAAGATGCAACAGTACTAGTTTGGCATCAATTTGGCGGTATTTGCGCCAACTTTCCTGGACAATGGGATTTTAAACAAGTACTAATTTTTTTATAAAATTTGCTAGTAGGAATATTTTTTTTCTCTTGACAGAAAACATTATTTTATGCTTAGAGATATGCTGAATTCTAACTAAAATATTATTACTTGTCAAAATAGAAAAAAAATTGTTTTAATAAGCATTAGTAATAGTTAATACAGGAAATTTCAGTTTCATAAACATACGAAACCAAACACTGCGAAACCTAATGCTAATTTTATCAAATATAAAATTCTAATCAAGTTGGAATAGCAGGAAATATTTTTATTGATGTGCATGGCGAGTAGCTGTGAGTTTAAAACATCAGTTAAATTTGATTGAAATATAAAAAAAGTATCTTTATGCAAAAACATTTTTTAAATATCTTAACAAAAAAATGTTTTTTACATTAAGAAAAAAGCTAGAGCACTTTTAAATCCCTCCAAAATTAGTTTACTCAGAGTTTCATAAAAAAGTAATATAAGACTAAGATTGTTGTTCTGTTATTCAACATTTATTTCGATACTTAAAGTAAAAGGCAAAGTAGATTATTCAGCTTAATGCACTTCTGTTTTTTTTTTTTTTTTGTTGAAAAAAATGTGTTTTTAAAAAATTTGTCCGATCTAGCAAAGCTAACAAAATAAAAATCCTTTCCGTGTAAAAGAAGAAAAAAAAGAAAAATTACGCTGTTTTGTAAAAAGATTATAATTAAAAATAAGAGAATACGAAAAAAGCTGTTCATTTCATTACTCTAAGTACAGCAAAAAAATGTTTTTGAATTGTTTAACGAATCAAATAAATGGTAAAAGAGATAATAAAAATCGAAAGGAAGAGCTTATATCTCATAAAAGGGAAAGAGAAAACCATAATTTTAAAATCTTTAAGGAAAATACTAGTAGTGTTATGCATGGCTAAAATACAATTAAAATTTTTTTAAGTTCAATGTATATTTGACTATTAGAGAAAATTTATTCTTCCCAATCTTGTATTGATTTCTTTTTTCAAAAACTTTCTAGATTAATATTAAGCATTTACTTTTACTGAATACATTGATTAAAACTACTCTTCATCTTTCAAAAATTAAATTTTAAAGCAAAGCAGTGAAGAAATAATTAAAAAGGAATAAAGGCATTTTAAAATTTTAGATATTGCTTTTTTTTGTATTTTACATGGTAATTTTAAAGAAAATGGGAGAAAGCAAAATATCCTTTTTGGAGTAAAGCAAAAGCTTTAAGCTTAAAAATAATAGCCGCTTCTTATTCACTATTGTATGCATGTTTCATAACGAAAAATTTACATGAGGGTTGCCAAAAATAGCCATGTGAGACTGGGTGAGAAGCAAAGTAGCTATTGCTGATTGAATATTATATATATATAAGTTCAAAATATAGAGAAACAAGTGAAAAATTACAGAACAATGAATATATATATATATANAATATATATAATTTTCTTTTCTTTTTTTTTTTTTAAACATGAATGTAGGAAAAATTCAAGCCCATGTTGTTTATCAGGAAGTAAAATGTAAATTTACAACTGTCGTTGAACAGTCGACCCAATTTTGTGGGTTCAAGATTGCTAATGTTCAACTCCAATACCTTGTAGTTTTGAACCAAATCCAGAAGACAAGGGAACTCCTGGATCAAGTGTTGGGGGAAATTTGCTTTTTTAGAAGTTTTGATGAAACTAACCCGCATTTGAGTTACATGGGGAGAAGGACCACGAGAACCTCTCACTGTAAGCCTGATGGCAAGAGACTCTAACCCATGATCCGTCTATCCCTGAGGATATTTCACATCAGCAGTGTGGTCGATGCAAGCCGCATGCGGAATTCGTATCGACCAGCCATGGTTATGATTCGAACCCGGTAAACCTCATTGGAAGGCAAACGCTCTATCCCCTGAGCCATCGCGGCTCAGGAAGTTCATTTTTAGTATGCGCTGCTGTAAGAATAAGTCATTAATTTCTTTTAGTACGGAATCAAAAACACTTCATTGTTAGGATCACTTTGCAAGTACATTGCTTACAAAATACAAAACTATGTTTAATAAACTTTGTTTTTGATAAAACAGTTTGATTTATCTCACCTGATATAAATAATTGAATATGTTAAGCCAGAACTCAAATAATTTTACTTACAAAATACAAATTTAAGCAAAATTTCCCGAATAATTGCTGAGAAATCCAATTTTAAAAAAGTGTATTTTGTGTCAGGTATGTTTATTCAGAAAACATACGTTTTTGTTCTAAATTTTCTAACTTAAAATATCGTCTTCACTAATTAATTAGAATATTTGAGTTCATTACTTAGAACCATTAAGATCGAGTCCACGAACGTGAAGATCCGATCATTAAATCAAAATCATTGTTGAAGACTGAGTATTTATTTTCCGCTCTGGACATCATACTATTTTTAGAAAACATACACTTGCCTAAATGCAAATTTATGTACAGGTCAAGTTATGAATTCCGTTAGGATTTCAAGAATCAATATGAATATAAATCAGTTTTATGAAAATATGGACTTACTTTTCCATCTAATTCATCCCATATCTCATTGCAATCATACACCTCTTGTCCTCCAACTAAAAATCTTTCGGCTTTTCCATGAACTAGTTGAAAGCTTGAAAGTGCAATAGAACAGAGCCAGATCAGAAAAATTATCATTCGACCTCGAACTTTTGTCCATCGTCCACTCAGTGGGTATATAATAGCGTAATACCTGAAAATATATATAAAGATATTTTAAACTGTGTATAATGTTATGAGAGTTTTGATTCAAATCGTGCCTCAAATTAATAATAATAAACGAAAGTGTTTGACTTAATAAATGAAAAAATCATAATTGTTAGCAATCGGCTAAAAATATATATTTAAAAAAAGCAGTACGTTTGAAGGCTAGGGGTAATGTAATGAATGATAAGTCACATTTTCCAAATCGTCGAGTTAACAGTTTTGAAAAAGTACAGCGTGTGCGAAAAAGCAAAAAAAAAAGTGTAGGTATATAATTTTTTGTATCATTTTAAAAAATATAATTTTACAATGAAAAAAGAAATTTGAGCGACGTTGGTCGAATAGTTCCTGAGAAATCAAATTTTGAAAAAGTCATATTTTGAAAATTTGATTTTTCAGGAACTACTCGACCGAATTCGCTCAAACTTTGTATTTTGCCATGTAAAAATACAATTTTTAAACTAATGCAAAAAATTGTATACCTTACAATTCAAAAATAAATTATTAACCATTTTAATCAAAATAATAAATATTTATTAATAGTTATTTCTGGCACTAAATTATCTTTAGGTAAACGAATTTTATAATTGTGTGTAAAATATTTTTAATTCACTTAAGCGATTCTCCAGATACGCAAAAAGTAAAATTAACATAAAGGGGTTCAATCTTTGGAGCGCTTTCCTGACCAAACTATTGGATTCATATTTCCCAGATTGCGACTATCCCCTTTATTTTGGGGGTAAGACATCTGAATCCGTCGAAAAAAAGGTATGTTTATTCAGAGGAAGTTCGTTTTTATGTCTGATTTCGAAATTTAAAATATCATTTGAACTTATTAATTAGCATATTTGATATCAATCCCTTGAACCATTAAGAATGAGTCCTAGAACGCGAAGATCCAATCATTAGATTAAAAGTTACTCAGGGTGGTCCTTTTATTTGGCTCAATGTACATCATGATCTCCATGTATGTTTAGGTTATTCACTCGCTAAGCACGATCATAAGCTATAAAAGTTATTAATTTAAGGTCATAATTATTTATAAGTATAGCGCATTATATTCGATTATTCAGTAACTATGCTATAGTAGTTTGTAAAATTTCTACTGTTTATTAACTAACATGGAAAGAATAGGCACATTTGTGAAAATGAGTTATGATTTTTTTCATTTTAACTATAATTGATATTTTGATTTACACCGAAGAGCCATTACATTATGCCCACCCTGCTAATAACATGTAGGACCACCTTTAATCCTCAAAATTGCTAGCACCCGCCGTGGTATTGATTCCACAAGGTGCTGATAGGTAGTCTGAGGTATCTGGTACCCAGCACTCACCAACTGGTCCTGAAATTCCCTCAATTCAATCATGCTAGCTGGGCAGCACGAATTTGGTTTTCCAAGTGAGACCACAAATGCTCTATTGGATTAAGGTCAGGTGAATTTGGGGACCAAGACATGACTTGAAAGTCACTGGAATGTTCCTCGAATCAATCCATGACGATTCGACCCTTATTACATGGTGCATTATCCTGTTTGTAAACACCATCCCCAGCAGGAAAAACTGTTGCCATGAATGGGTGAACCTGGTCTACAATTATGTTCAAGTAGCTTACAGACGTCAGGGATTGTTCTATGAGAATTAAGGGTCCTAATGTGCCCCATGAAAACATTGTTCCTGGGCGAGAAACCATGAAAACCTGGGCGAGCCCATTGTTATAGATGGAGGGTGGTCATAATGTAATGGCTCTTCGGTGTATATTAAACGGCAAAAAAAGACAAAATTTTGCAAAATCCAGATATTTGACATGCACTTAAAACAGCTTTAAAATATTTTCAAAAAGCATTTCTATCAAATACTGAAAGGCTTAAAACTCCCTATTAAACTTATGAACCAAAAACCTGAAACTGTGACTTCTGTACCAGACAAATGGGAATTCATCTTCAGAGCTCAGTTTCAGAACATTTTCCCACGGAAGAAATGCTTTATTTTAAAGTCCATCATAAATTAGATAATATTCTATATTTACTCTCGATCATCATTTTAAACTAGTAAATTGCGGCTTTTCAAATTCATACATTCCCTGTTTCTATTTCCGTATCACAATCATTTATATATTCCTTTCTATGTATTCATTTTCAATCATTTTACTCATGCATTACAGATCTTAAACTGTATTTGGCACTTATAAATTTTATTATGCTATCTTTAATTCATTCCTAAAGTCTTTCTTTGAATTTTGTTATTTTACATAGATAGTTTATGGTAAACTATTTTGGAACTCTTGAGAACCCATCGAAACATTGAGTTATGAATGGGGATGATAGAATGGGTTTACTCATTTGGCTTAAATTTACCCTTGTATATGCAGGATTTCATGTGCAGGAAGCATGGTTTCAGACGGAAAATAAAGCGCATTAGCGTGATTTCATATGTAAATAAAAACAGCTACATTACAAATATGTTATAATGGATTTACGAATTTCTTGTTTCTCTAAAATAAAGTTGTAGAATATAATTCCTGCTTTAAACCAAAACGTCTAGTCTGTCTCCTTTTAGGGAAATCCTTTTAAGAAAAATGCACATGAAAGGAAGTCCCATAAGTCATTTCATTTCTGTTATTTAAATTTTTTTGTTCATTTATTTCTGTATTTATCAATTCAGTTGCACATAATATCATTCCTTAATTTATTCATCTCATTGGTCAGAAAAATCAGTTCAACATTGAATCATGATTCAGCATCTATCCTTTTAAAAAAAAAAGTCTTGAGGCCCTCTTCTGACGTCATAGTAATGGTGTGACTATTATTATTAATATTTTTTTTTTACTTCCCGGGTTTGTTTGTATATGTGACCGGCAAAGTATGAAATGCCGGCATTATATATAATGCCTGATGCTATTTAGGCAAAGTACGAAATTAGCGTCCTGATGAGGTTATTACGTAAATGATGTGCATGTTACTGTGAATGACCGAAACCGGTGAATGTTAACACTCACATAGTCGCTTTGGTGAATGTCCGAAATATTTATTACATCCGATTTCATATTAATTTATTCGCGGATATAATTACATTTATTCGATATTTTAATACTTACTGACGATAGATTCGAAGAAACATCAGTGTTTGGAGTATCGGGCAAATGCATACCGGGCAGTGGTCCTTGCCCTCAAAAAACTTCAGTGTAGGGTATACCGGGCAAATATATACCGGGCAATGGTTTTTTGAGGTCAAATGCCATAGACCGGTATACATTTGCCCGGTATAACCTACACTGATGTTTTTTTAAAGTCAAGGGCCACTGCCCGGTGTACATTTGCCTGATACTTCAAACACTGATGTTTTTTAAGGTCAAGGCCCACTGCCCGGTATACATTCGCCCAGTATACTCTACACTGATGTTTTTTTAAGGTCAAGTGCCATTGTCCGGTACATATTTGCCCGGTATATCCTACACTGATGTTTTTTTTAAGGTCAAGTAGCATTGCCCGGTACATATTTGCCCGGTACATATTTGCCCGATACTCCAAACACTGATGTTTCTTCTAATCTATCGTCAATAAGTATTAAAATATCGAATAAATGTAATTATACCCGCGAATAAATTAATATCAAATCGAATGTAATAAATATTTCGGACATGCACCAAAGCGACTATGTGATTGTCAAGATTCACCGGTGAAAGCCAACAATCACCGGTTTCGGTCATTCACAGTAACATGCCCATCATTTACATAATAACCTCATCAGGACGTTTATTTTATACTTTGCCTAAATAGCATCCGGAATTATATATAATGCCTAGGCAATGTGTGAAATTTAAATCATTTCATACTTTGCCGGCTAGTTTTAGGCATTATATATAATGCCGGATTTCATAATTTGCCGGTAACATAATATACTCGGAAGACTCAGTTATTCTGAATTTAATTCTTGTGTTGTATTTCTGCGAAAAAAATGTGCTCTTCATTTTTTAAAATAACAGATGGAGATATGAAAAAAAAGCACTTTGGGAAGTTATCCTACATTGACATGCAATTACCTGATAGTTCAAATTTTATTTCCCTTGCAATATAAAATTTTCATATCTGAATAATTGACTAAACATTGGGCTGATTTTTCTGAAGGTTTATAAATAACATTTGCAATTGATCTAACATGTAGAATAAGAAGCAATAGTGATCAGACGAAAACGCAGAATTTGATTTATCAAATCCAGATTTTTGGCATTGCTAGGACGCATTCAAAGATTAAATGATAATACAAATCTAAGAAAACTTTTAAATTGGAAACTTTTCAACTTGAGACCAAGAGGAAGACCTGAAAAGAGATGGTTGGATGATGCCACAAAACATCTTATCAAAATGAAGGTGAAAAACTGGAAATTGAGAACTAAAATTAGGAAAGTTTGGAGCGATATTGTTTGGCAGGCCAAGAACCACAGCGGGCTATAAAGCTGTATAAGTAAGTAACTGTTCTAACAATTTTAAAAATATTAAGATTATTATGAGCTCATGATTCAATACTATCAAAGAAAATTTTCATTCCCATTATTTTATGAAACATTTCAAATTGTCGTTACTACGCATCTCAAATATTAAACTTACCAAGAAGAAGACTTTTATAAAACCTATAAAAATAATATTTAATTTTGCTACTGATAATTTGAGTCATATCGCAAACTAATAAAACATCTTCATTTTCAATTCAAGAAAAATATAAATCGCTATGAAACTAAATTGTCTAAAGTTGAAAAGGAAATTAATTCATTAATATTTAATTTTGAAGCTTATATAGTATCTTCATTTTGAGAGAGATTTACCACTGGGATCACATACACTTGAGATAAGGCACTTTATGCGACAATATTAAGTTTCCAATAACGATTTCTTAAATGAACTTTTCTAAATTAAAATCCCTTCAGGAATGTTTGATCAGTAAAATATTGATAGTTTGAGATTTTATTGTCGGAAAGGGCAGTATCTGT